AATGTAACGATTCTCATGACCTCCAGGATGAAGTGTGTAGGACCCATCTTTTCATATTGTAATTACTGGAAATCTCTCCATTAAATTAAAGGAAAACAGAAAGGAGATGAGCTAAACATTCAGGTTTTATCATTTGCAAGTGCCATAGTGATGAGTGTAATACAAGTGTGCAGGCAGGTAAGCGTGCTGTTAGTTACCTTAAGAGTTACCTGCTTGACTATTGCAAAGAGCTATTAGAAGGGCAGCTATTAGGGAGTTTAGTTTAAAGCCAAAGCTTTTGACACAAGCCAAAGTAGACTTACATCAAAGAGCTATATTACAGAGCTTGTCCCTGTAGTTCTGGCTGGCTAAAATTTGCCTCTGACTTATTCTCCAGGCGAACGTATTAACTCGCGCGTGAACAGAGTTCTTCGTCCGTAGTTTGGTTCGATACGTGACAAAACCAGCTGGTTAACGTACGATCTACCAGCTTACTGTGCGTGACTTGTGTTTTTGAACCGCTAGGAACGTGCGCCTATGCAAAAGCAGGGGCAGGCTGCAGAGGAAAACGATGCAGCTGTAAAGTGCAGCTACGGTTTTGTGGAAGGAGAGGAGGAGCAGCAGCTTCGGGGAGCCGCCGTCGAGGTTGCCGAGGTTACAGGTGCTATTGCGTCTGCAGGGGAGCGGCTGGGATGTTCTCTGTTGGTAATTGGTGGCGGCTGTTTTCTTCGGAGATAACAGAATTTGCATTTTTAATTAAATTGTTGCATTTATCAACGGTGAAGCATAAAACATAACTCATGGGAAGCTTTCCACGCTATCAACGTAAGGACTTTGACAAAAAAAAGTTGTAATAGTTGTATTTACCCCAATAACGTTTTAAAACTTTTCAAATCTTTAAGCGTTTAAGGGGTGAGAATGCAGTTATAAGGGCTCAAGAATCAACCACCAAATATGCTTTCCTAATTATTAAGATCCCAGTATAAACGCTGTTTTGGAAGCCAGGTTTCACTGCTTCAAACAGGGGAAAACCTAGAGCTGGATCCCAACCTCGTGCTCAGTGCGGGAGCTGAGGATTTTCATCGAACCCGCTGCTCACTGAAACAGCAGAAACTCTGCCTTAGCCCTAGGAAAGAAGTCTCTCTGTTGAGACCAGCATGGTTTGGCTCAAGCAGAGCCTGACAGAGCCAGGGGATGCTTTAGGAAAAACAAACGATGTCGTGGTGGGTTTCAAACTGCGTTTGGAATTGGCACAATATGTCATACTGAATTTTCTGCCAGATTTAAGAGTGATATGGGAAGATCTTCATCTACTGTGAAGACGCGCAGCACCGCTGACTTCCTTAGAGCCGTATCAGTATATGCGATTAGGGATAGGGCCCAGGAGGCTTAATATAGCAGATCAAACAGGCGCAAACAAGCCCCTGCCGCACTGAATCAGTACCAGATGCTGAAGTCGGGCAGACCACCGTTAACAAGCGCTAGCTCAGAAATGAGGCAAACTGCTTTGCAGACCGAGGAGAGGAGATTCACTTTCCACTACTATTGCAACAGGAACGTTTAATGAGAAAATCAAACAGCACTTCGGAGTTAGAGCAGCCCCTATTTATCTCGAAATGTTTTTCATGTCCAAAGTCAGATACCTTTGCAAACTTCTTAAAAACTCATGAAACGTCTTGCCTTTTGTGATGGGAAGCTGCAAATCTTGCTAAATCGATACAAACTGCTCAGTTTGAAGTAAAGCTTCATTCAGCAAATGCCATCGGGGCACCTTATCTATTCTGGACTTGAGGGAGCCTCTCTCTCTCTTACGGGAGAGTAGGAGAATGGCAGTCTTTGAACTAAAAATGGGCTTTTGTGAGCCCGCTCTCCTTCCTGCTCCCAGGGTCTGCCTCAGATCTTTGATTTCTCAGTCTCCCCGCTGTAGGCAGGTGGCGAATCGACGTCGTCTGCCCAAGCGGCAGCTCCCATCTTGGCCCTGCCACCCTCTCCTAGGCAGAGCCGGGGGGCGGCTGCTGGAAGCGCGGGCGCAGCCGGACGCCGGGGCTCCCACCGCTGCTGGGCTGCTACGGAGGGGAAAGGGAAAAAGGGGGTGGTGAGCAGCCGCTCGGGCTGGAGAGGAGCCCAAAATCCAGTCCTAAAGTTTCCAAACTGAATGAGTCTTGGGGAGGGTGAAGGTCAGATTCTTCCCTCAAAAAGAAGTCTTAGGAATTGGAGAAATGATAAAAGGAGGGCTGTAGAGTTCTTTTCTGTGTTCAGGCACAATATTTAACTGGCATTTATGTGCGTGGAAGCATTGCCGTAACATAGCTAGTCCAGCCTATTCGTTGACGACCTTTCCTGTAACGTTAGCCACAATACAAAACACACAAAGCTTCCTTAAATTTAGCTTCCAGTAGCCCAAAGGAAAATGTAAGGCAGGGATGCCTTGCATTCAAATGATAACATGACTATTGCCAATCTGAGTAACATCTAGGATGCGCAGTTACAACAATAATGGGTGTAAATGCAGAACCCTAAAATAGGTACTCTTCTGCAAAATGGCCATATACAAAAAAAAAATCTAGCTTGCTCAATAACTAACTTTGTTGCTGTCATTTATTTTTGTAGGGTTCCCTTTCCCAAGCAGATGGTTATTTTCCTTCGGTAGATTTACCAACACAATTATTTTCCCCATATTAAAGTGGTTTAAGAGTTTAGGCCTAACTTGTTCTATCTTTACGTTAAATAATTTTCTGATTTAAGGACTAGTCATGTATGGCATTAAGGTACTTCTAAGTGGGAATGGTGGCATATATGGTTACAATCATACTAAATTACATGTGTTGCACTGGTTTCGCTTCATTCCCTGGTTGATTTTTGTAACGAAGCAGAGCATGTAACATTTACTTTCCCGGAATGAAATCTGTCCTGTACATGGGATCAACATGTGCCTTTTAAATAGCATTTATATAAATTTCAAGTGGTCTGTACATCTCATACAAATTCTCCGTGGCAAGTAAAATTCCATTTTGAATGTTTTAACACATTATATCACATAGCCTTTTAAGTCAAAGGGCTATTATGGGCCAGTATGCAAAATACTCAGTCATCTGTTTTTTCTGTGAGGGTGAACCCATTTTGGCATGATGGAAAACTGTTAGTAACAACAGGAATACCATATTTAATTGAAAAATAACTAGAATTATATTCTTTAGAATAGAAATCCTTCAAAGTCCCGCTGGGGCTAGTAGAGTTACAAACTTTGCTGTATCTCAGCTGAAAGTTGGCACCAGCTGGAGTGCATCAGGACCCGGGAGAAAATCTCCTCCCCTGCACTCGCTCAAGACCTCGCTCTGGGTTTGTCCAGTCCAGAGATAGTGTGTGTGGACCGAATGAGGAGGCCACAAACAGAGCAGTACCACAGTAACATTAAGCTAGGAAACCAGGTAACTTCATACGAAATGTGCTGCATCAGGCTCTGTATTTTCTGTCCATTCTGTGCCCAAAGCCTTCAACAGGCAAGAAGACAGCCAAAACTGCGAAAGAAGGCACATGTTAGAGGTGTTTGTTAGCAGGCAGTTCTGAAACACAATACTGGCTTACGTATTCAGAGAATTAATATTCTAAGAATGTTTCAGACAACTAAATAGTCAGAGAATTAACTTGGTGAACCAAATTTTTGCACATCTTGCAGGTGTTTTCTAGAGGGATAACTCTTTAGCAAGAAGGGCCTTCGTCACTGTCAGCCTGGAACATACTTCTCAAGCTGCTGTGTCAGTGCCCAAAGTGCACGCTCTGATCCAAAGAGAGTACTGTTAAAATTGATTTGTGAACCATTTGGCTTGTGCTTTAGAAAATGCAGCATGCTTCTGCCTTTGGCTTTCATGGAGAGCACTTAAAAAAATAAACAAATAAATAAAAGCTTTAGAAGAAGCTATAAGGTGTGGCTTAGTTCTTACAATTGATGACTGGCAATGGGAGATGAACCTCGATCTGTGATTTATTTCCTTGCTTGGCAATCGGGTTGGTAAGCTCTTGCACACCTCCGTTCCGTCAAGAGTTTCAGCTGTATTAGCTCAATACATGCTAGTCTGTACTGTGTGTCCTGCCCTGGGGGATAATAGTACCAAAGTGCTGTTAAATAGCCAGGCTCCACCTGAGAAGCGGAGCTGTGTATTTCATCAATGAAAAGGCCAGGTTCCTCTGAGAAGATGACAGTGTATAAATATGGGATGATTGATAGGTTTAGTGCTGTTTTACAAATGCCTGTGGATTTTCAAGGCAGAAATAGACTCTTCTTTAACACAGAACTAGAGCTGATGCAGCACTTGCAGCCTTGTGCAGCAGGGAGGTGTGAGGATGTCACCTTTTAAAAGGATCAGATTTGTCATGTGTACGTGCTGCTGGGGGCTTGTTCTGCCTGATCCTTGGAAATGAATTTGTTCTGGTGTACTGTGAAAGAGACTGACTTATATATTGCTGACTTATATAAAATGGAATGTTTCATTTTATACATGGAAAGAGTTTAGACAGAAGAGGCTGGAGCTGTTCAGTTCTAATGGAAACAGAGTATCGTCTCATAAAATGGAAAATAAACTACTCTGATTAGTACGCAAAATACGATGCTTCGATGGGGGGCGGGGGGAGTAATAACCTTTGTAGTCAACTCTCTAGTAGCCTAGAATAGCACTGTTGCATTATCAATTGCAGGATTTTTTCTCACTTAAATCTGTGTTCATCTATGTGGTCAGTTTGTGCCCAGGTGTCTGTCATGGTTGCACGTTTTGCACACTGGACGTACCACACCCTCACTGCTGGAGGGCAGCACAGGCCGTACTGAAATCCTCCAGCCAGAAGAGAAGGCAAGGGTCCCTGTTCTCTTCCCTGCTTTTATGCCTTGTGCGCTATGCTCGCATTTGTTTAACATGCCCAGTGGTACTGACTTTGCATTAGATTTTCAGTGCTTGAGACTAAAACTGTACTGTGCTGGATTATAGTATGCTATGGGTATCACATAATAAACTCTTTCCTTTTTTTAGGCCCGAACTGCTTTGCAGAAACCATTGTCATTCCAGCAGGCCGAGAGGTGAAAACTGATGAATGCACTATATGTCACTGTACTTATGAAGAAGGCACTTGGAGAATTGAACGACAAGCTATGTGCACTAGACATGAATGCAAACAGATATAAGATATCTACAAATCACAGTACTTTGGGTTTTTTTTATAAAATATCTCAGAGCGGTGAGCACCCTAGATGACCCGGAGAAATCTGAACATGAAGATTTCGGTGAGGAGCAGAGACTAGCATATTGGTATTTTGCTTTTCATAGTAACATAATACTGCAAAGCAAAGAAGTGCATATATTTAAAAAGTCTGGACATAAAGAATACTTGTCTTAATAAATGTGTTTTATTTTCACAGTGAGTACCCTAAATGCACTCTATCAAATAGTCTATGTATTTCTATAATAGCATTATAGAGCTTAAAAATAAATGTTTTATATAGACAAAACAGATTAAATTACTGTATGGTGGCCTGTCCTGTTGTATACATGCACCATAACTAAAACATTACATTTCTGTTCTAGTTTCCTCATATGAGGAGGGTTTTTTTGGTTTGTTCATTTTCTGTTTAGGGGGTCAGGAAAGAACCAGCATATGACAAAACTTTGAAGTTCTCTCTTTTGAAAGTGTGCAGTATATGCTTTCAAAGAATATGTGCTCATTTATTAATATTGCGGTAATGTAAAAGTGGGTCAACTCTTTTTCTGAGTTCTACTGGTGCATATCTGCTGGTCCCCAGCTGAGATAACTCGGAGCAGTGGGCAATATGAAGCTGTTCGCTCATAACCATTGTCATAAAAATGTAATTTGACAAAATCAATTTCTAATACTGAGTTCAGACAACACGTTACAGTGGGACAAATTCCTTGTGATGTGACCAATATAGTGATGCCTAGGTGGTTGAAATGATTGTAACTAACCAAACAGCGTCATTAATGTAATGTGCAACGGATGTGAAGAAGTGTAACTCGGAAGGGCTAGAGCGGCAGAACAAGCATACCCAGATGGGGTTCCACATTACAAATCCTTTGGCAGGAGAGCTGATTTGTAGCTGCGCCATCCCACAGCTGTTGAAAAGAAAGGTTTTGAGCCAGCAGTTTGAATCCATCAAAGGATTTATAGCACCGAACCTGACCCTGAAGACGTGTAAGGTAAAGCACATCTCTCTGCTTCAGTGGTTTACGCCTTTGTCTAGATTTGTGTTGCTTCTAATTTTGTTTATCACCAACTCTTAGACTATATCTGCTTTGAATTTTTATTAAGACAACAATTGAAGAAAACATTTAACCATGGGCTTACCTTTAAGTTTTCACTAGAGGGCAGATTTAAAGAATCAAGGTCTAAAATTAGATTATTGCTACTTATGTTCTCATTTACCCTTTGCTACATGATCCTGTGATGTGACCTGGTTTCTAGGTTTCCATCCATACCAAGTATGAATTTCTGGCCCTTCTGAAGACCATGGGAGTATTGCCACTGACCTGAATGGATCCCAGGTTTCCCCTCAAGTCTGTATTTGGAGTAGGTGTATGCTCATTGCTGGGCATGGTTTTCCACAGTAGTGGAAACTACTTTGGTAGTTGGTTTGGGAGAGGAAGAGGAGCGATAGAATCACAAATCAAGGAACCATAACTTGTGCAAGCAATTCTGTGGCAAAGTCATGCATGGCATCAGTCTCTCCCTATGGAGAAAGGGAGATGGGACAGCAGATTCCTGATTTTTGAATAGTTTTATACCACATGAAAATCAAATTATTTCCCTTAAGTTCATGTGCATGTATGTAAATATTGTACTGAAAATGCTGTTCTCCAGTAACTGCAATTACTAACAGAGATACAGGAAGTATTTCACCTGGGAGTCACTCAGCTTGTTGCAGTGAATGGTGATGGCAGAGTGCAGAATTTGTTTTCCTTGGAAGCAGGGAGGGAGGAAGTGTTTCATATCTCACTTGTGTCTAGACCGTAAGCACACCTGCAGATATAAGCATAAATGCTCGATTCTGCCATTTTATAGAGGAGTACCTTGTGCCTTGAAGAGTAGTTATTAACAGAGTGAAATGCTGCTTAGTGGGAGTAAAGGAGGAAGGATTTGGCTAAAAAATGCATTATTTTAAGCATATCTGCTCATTGGTGTACTTGGATAGGATTCATTACTCATATGACATAAGTAGAAAGCTTGTTCCTAAATCAGCAGCACCCATGCTTCAAAAATATGTAGGTTTCTACTTACTGAAATGAAGTATCTTCACAGCACTGAGAAGGTGCCATGAGTGCTGATATTCTTCCATGAGTATTTTCTTGAGGGAAGTGGATATACCCATGTTAGAAGGGCTGCGCGACATGAGTAAGAGCAGCAAATTTGGACTTGCAGCTTGGCACGGGATTGATGTTTCCAAAAGGCTGGTTAGTGCCTCTGTAGAAGGACATTTCCTGTTTTCAGTGCAGCTATACAACTCTCAGAATTGTGCATCTTTAAATATACGGCCATGTTTAACTTGGAAACTTTGGAAATCTCATCTTTGAGTAGTTGCATTTTGTTTCTCCTTCACTGAAGGCTCTTGTTAAGCTTACACTGTTTCTCTAGGCTTGAATTTCTGTTCTTTTGGGAAGATCTGTCTTTACTGAAGTATTGAGCATTGAGGTTATAGAAGTATTGAGGTTAAATTGTGGTTAAATGCTATTTTTGTATGTGTTTCTAGTGCAGCTTTTATAAACATTTTCTACTGCACATTTTTTCCAGTGGATTTTTCCACTTTTCAGTCCTGGTACCAATGTATTTGTCTCATCCTTCTGTAGTAATAGGTTGGTCCTTTTCCATTTTATCTAGAATGTCATGGGCCAATTCATCTAGACCAATTTATGATCACCCTACTTAATGCGAAGGTCACTGGACCGCATCTGGTCTTCACCTGTAGTGTTTCCACATGAGAGCTCTTTGGCGATCACTGAGATGGGGAAATGGGCTGATTCAGCTTTCTTGGGCAGATTTCACCAGCCTTTCCCTTCCACTGCAACTGATGCACAGTGATGCTATCAGCAACCCCAGCCCAGAGGCAAAGGGACTGAATGACCCCAACTCCAGCAGGTGACTGCACCTAACAGCAAGCTGGCCTTTGGCAATGGAGTTTGGCAAGTTGGAGATGAGATTTGCAGCCTACTACACATTGTCACTTCACATAGACAGAGGTTTAAAATGGAAATTTACCTCTCTTTTGACAGCAGTGGAAAATGAAAATATGGAAATTAAAATTAAAAATAAAAAATTAGACAATATGAATTGTAGTTAGAGATCACTCATCTTCAAACTGATGCAATCTTTTAACCCCTAAGCAAAAAACAGAACCGCTGTGGTGGCCGCTGTGGTATTTATCTACACATTACAATTTGGTCAAGTAACATACCTCTGCCTGTCGAGGGACACCTGCTGTATAACCTTAAAAAATTAGAGAAAATCCATCTGCATAATTTCTAATGAACCAAACTCCAGAGTATTTTGACTGTCATATTGAGATATGTTCATCTGACAGCTCAACAAAATAAAAAAAAAAACTTTTAAAGTGAAAATAAACTCTTAATGTGTCTCTAACAGCCAATTTTCCTGTTACTGGACACTATATTTTACATTTTTTATAATGTTAAGCAAGTAAGGTGCACATTAATGAAGTGAAAAACTTATTAGTGGCTTTTGGCTGTTGGGTATATTTTCCAAAAGGGGACACACCTGAAGCCTAGATACTGAGCTGGTTTTTGCTTCCATGTAAACAGTGTTATGTATCCTGTATATGAGAAGTTCAACTTTGCAGGTGGGTCGTGTCTATAAAAACTGAATTTCAAGACATGCTGATAGCTCATGGGTAATTTTGTATTTGAAGGTCTGTTGCCTGGAGAATGAATATTCTTCTCAGAGGTTCTTGTGTAACCTCATTGGCACAAATATGGTATTTCTGCTTCTACTTCACTTGCTTCTACTTATTTCCCAGTTGAAATCACAGCAAAATTAACTGTGGATGTGGTTTGTCCATTTTTGTAGGATTACACTATCTGTGAATTTGGCTTCAAATGTGTAAGTAGGGGCTTGAAGAAACCATACTGTAGATGGTTTCAGGTAACTATAAAATTGCACTGTTACTGTTTGGTAGGAATCCTTAAACTACTCATTTAAACCACAAAAATGGAAGTGCTGATATCCTCTAAATGTTTATGTGAGATTTAAAAAGGAAAAGAGGAAAATAAAGAAAGATTTGAGCCACTGTGAGAGAAAAGTCCAAGCAGTGAAGTATCAGTAAGAGGAAGTGTCCATAAGGGCAATAATGGGAGAAATATGGCAAGGAAAACAGAAGGAGAAACTACTGAACATGTCTAGAAGTGGTAGACAGAGGAGCTGAATATTACAGTAGGAATGTATAAAGAGAAAAAGATTAAAAACAATGATATAAGGATGTTTCATAGGGAGATTTTCAAAGCATATCTTAAGAAAAAGTAAATGAAAAAGATAATCAGACACAAAATGAAATACAAAAAATTCTGCTTAAACATAAGAATAAAAAGGGTGACTGAACACTGGAACAGCTTGCCCAGAGAGGTTGTGGAGGCTCCATCCTCGGAAATGTTCAAAATCCGACTGGACATCGTCCTGGGCAACCTGTTCCAGCTCACCCACCCTGAGCCAGAGGGGTTGGATTAGATGATCTCCAGGGGTCCCTGCCAACTCCAGCCTTTCTGTGATTCTGTGTAAAATCCAAAAACAGGTTGATATGACATTGATTTAAGGCCTTTAATACAACAAGAAAGAAAATATGATGAAAGGTTCCCTCACTTTGGAAAACTCTCTTCTGTTCTCATGCAGTGTAATATAAAATGTATTTTCATGATTTGTAAAATATTCGATACTGCCTTTTGATGATAATTTTAGTATCTAAACCACGATACTCCTAAAATATGTAGGATGCTCTGAAAAACATGTATTATGTAATAATCTAACACAATCCACCTAAACACTAAATTTATTTCCTTTATCAGATAATTTTCTTCTCAGTCTACGTTACCAGGGGTCTTTTCAAGGAATTTTATAATTCATTCAGTTTTTAGAAGACAGCCACTCCCTCCCAGAGTCACTCTTCCTTTCAAAAATTATTCTCCGCCTCACTAAAAAGGTAAATTTTCAGTCTTTTGAAATATCACATTAAACAACTCCCATAGCAGAGGAAAATGAATAAATACGGCCTATATTATGTCTTCCCAATTGATCATTTCTGTCCTTTAAAAAGCAAATATAGGAAGAGTTCAAACCTGTATGTCAATTACCAGTTACAGATGAGTCAAAAGTTTTTATTGTTTACCTCTTGAGGTTATGTGGAAACACTGATATGGAATATTAATTAATCAGTAATAGGAAAAAACATTGACATAATTAGCTACATGAAAGCTGATTTTTAACAACAATAATCCACGCTGAACTTACCAGAAATATTTGTTATGTTGTTCATATTAGGTTCATTTGGGGCTATTAGTTAATAGTAATGCTATTTCTGTAACTCGAACAATTTCCTGCCTTTAAAAAAATACTACTTTTAAGAAATACACAGCCAAAAAAAAAAAGCTATTGTTGCTACAAATACGTAGAATATAGTAACGGAAGAGCAAGTTAGTCTTGCCGAAATAAGTATTTATAATGTTCCTATGGTAAATGTTGAGTTTGCCGCATACATCGGTCAGTAATCTTGATGTCACTTCAGTAGAACGCAAGACGTTAGCCTGCCTCGCGGTTCTTTGACGAAAGGGAAAACTATCATGTAGAAACACTAAGCACCCCAGTTCCAGCAGGATATGCGCCTCTGGTGCCTATTTTGAACAATCTGCAAGGTAGACTTTGCAGGACTGTCTGCCAAAATGGATGCGCTCGATGTTTTTGTATGCACAGGTATTATCTCTTGGCAAAGAGGTGATTTTATGGAAAAAATGGTGAAAAAAGAAATATATATCTGTTCATACACAATGTGGAAAAGTAGCAAACATATACTGCATGTAAGTTGATTGAATGAAAGCCAGCTTAACATGTAATTATCTTTGAGAACAGAAAAACAAGGAAAACTTTTTTTTTCCGTGGTTTTATATGCAAGGAAATGTCTCTCTTCTGGCTCCGTCCATACAAAAGAGAAACCTAAATACGTTAGCAGTGAGAGGCATAAGTCAAATTCAAGTTCAATATCAATGTTTCTTGTACAAATGTTCACTCAGAGCATGTACAAACTGACAAATGAGAATTCTTTTCTTGGATAGGCCAACATAAATCAAGAGTATCTTAGAAACCCAGCTTAATACTGATAACAGATCAGAAATTGTTCCAAGAATTCATAGGCAATAAAATATCTGTATTTGACTACAGTCAGTGAATGACAGAGAAAACATTCGCAAATAATAACGTAAAGTTCTTTTGTCGACAGTAGGCAGGACGGAGCACAAACCTTTATAACGATGCACTTTACTTTTTCCCGTGAGTCTTAATGGGTGCACAAACTTTGTGAATTAAAGTAAATTTCACCTATTGGGAAGACCAAAAAACTGACTTACTCTTTCTGTACTCTGCTTGAATGCATAAATGTATGCATACAAAAGCAAGTCACTATTTTACTGTGTATAATACCCCAGTGAAAGCTAAATCAATTTGTTATTCTTCAAAGTGTAGATACTATGTTATAACTGCCTTTAAGTGATGGGCTGATTTGCTAACCAGAGCTTTCTATTTCTGAAGTGCAACACAAAGGTAAATAGATAAGAATGTCAAAACGTTGCTTAATCTATTTTTCTACTGCTTTAAAAAAAACAAAACTGCATTAATTTCAGAGGATAATTCTGAAATTAATTTGTCATCTATTCTGTATGACACTCCATGTGATTATTGGTATATTTTTACCAACACAAAGTGTATATTTTGTCAAAGGCAATAGTGTGTCCTATGGGTTTTTTTAGCCACTAATAAGTCAAACTAATGCTAACTAATTTAGTGCTATGGTGATTGGCAAATTATGGAGATAGCATATGGGCAGGCAATGCTTCAAACAAACGTAACAGCCCTTCATGTTTGTGGCCTGTTTATTTCTAATTACACATGAAAACAAGGAATAGCTAGCATTTAGTCATTTTATGGATTCCAGTTAAATAGAGATGAATTTCTTAACTGTTAACTATTAAACCTTTCTTTTTTTTTAATACGCTTTTTCCAGCTCTTTTTTTTTTCAAATGGCGTTTGATAAAAATAGCTATTTTATATATTCTGCTAAATAGTTACGTTGTTTATACCAAAGTTCAAGCAATAAACAGTGTCACTGTAGAAAACTAATGACTGTTAACCATTTTTTTCAGATGCCTTACAGTTACATGTTTAATATAGAAATTACTGCTGTTCATTCAAACTGAAAAACCAAGCTAAGATAACAATGCACTTGAAAGTAACTAGCAAGGCTTTCGTTTTTTGCATCCTTCACATCAAAATATAATATATTTGGAGCTTCATTCATATAAACAGTTTATTAGTGGGTTTATTAGTATAGTATCTTTAGGTGATGTACCCTGGTTAAAAACTACTACTTAGAAGTAGTGCAGTATTTCTATTTCTTCCTTTTTTCAGAAAGCAATTGCTGAAGACTTGTGTACGTAAACCTGTGGTCCATATCTGTGCTTCTGAAGGCTGGAAGAACTAAACACCACGAACCCTTTTTTTCACATAAGGCAAATAGTTAACACTGGCCTTCATGACCAGCTCATTTTCATACAACTAAGGGAAAAAGAAAAACTGTAATATTTTATTAAAAACAGTACAGTTTTGATGGGGTATGCTCTGCAAATACCCAAACAGAATTCGAAGCTGGATTCTGTTACTGAATACTAACTTAAATGAGGCTACTAATGAAAGAGAATGAAAAGGAATGCATCAAGGAATTTTTGACAGTCTTACAAATTAAAGAATACAAGTGTTATAATACCAATATAAGTTGTATTTTATGTTAATGTTTTGTTTTCATCAAGTAAAAGCAAGAGAGTGTTATGCTCCACATTTAAGGGTGGAGCAGGTGACTGATTAAAGTGAAATTCTACGTTCTTTGGGAAGAAGTTGCCCATTGGTGATAGGTGATATAATTCATTGTTATACCTATAGTGATATTATAATTCATCGTGGAAGAACATTCAAGATGTTCTTGCACTCGGGGCTAATCTGCAGCATTCATGACTTCTCAGTGTTGGATGCCGACCCTGAGCTGTTTACTGTAATACTCTAAAACCAAAGACTGAGTGGACAGGTAGATGAATACTACAGTGTAGAGTCATTAACAATAGTCCGCGTAGAAAAGAGCTGAGGCCTATAAGCAGAGGACTAAGTAAGGGAGTATATATGCAAAATACCTGTATTTTATTTCCTTTTTGTAATTTAAATAGCTAATGGTCTTCACTGTTATTAACCTACCATGTAATATAAAGGCCTCAAAAATCAAGTAATCCTAAGTGATATGGCCAAGAATATTTTACCGATGTGCTGATGAATAATTATTTCTTAAAAACAAGTGTATTCTATTGATGTAACCAAAATGGACTCTACACAATTAAAAAATGTTTATTAATATTATCGCATTAATATACATCTGAGCTACTACAAGATTGCAAACTCACAACCGTTAACACTTTGTTGCTCCATACATGAAACTGTTGTTGCACGGAAGACAGTGAATTCTGTTACTGGGATTGTATGATCCTGGGCTGCAGACAACTATGGGCCAAAAAAAAAAAAAAGAAAGAAATTTAAATGATTGTGATAAAAGAATTATTTAAATTTGAAATGCTTAAAATACATCTTTATCTATTTGGAAAAAAAAAAAAAACAGATTTTTTTCCAGCATTCTGTTATTTGATATTGGAAAAAAATGTATATATTTTATATATTATTATTATTACACTGTATTTTTGTCTTCAGCACTTCTCACTGCATCTGCCTACAGGTAATTTTTCCAACAGTGAAATCTGAATATGGTTTATATCTAATGATATTTTAACTAAGCTACTAGAGCTGCTTGTATAAGTAATGCAAGATAAAATAAAGCTGAAATTTAAGTTCTGATATTAAGAAGTACTGCATAAACAATCCATCAGACCAGCAAAAGCTAGTGTTTGACATGCAGAGTGTCTTTAAATGTTTTTTTCCAGTTGGCTCATGTTATGCCATTTGATGAAGTCCATACAGTCATCTGAAGAATGACTTTATTCTTCATCTGTACACAAAAGACTAACTCAGCATTAGGTTCTCGGTAGACAAAAGCAAAATGTGAACTATTTGATTATGCCTTTCTTGAATCTTACTTCATTTTGGCAACGGTAGCCTTTCTTTAGGATAGATCTAATTTTAATGATCAGCAGTAGTATTCAGCATGCAAATGTATTTACGACTTTCCTTCCTTTTGCAGAGGAAGGTACCTGCCTAGTTACTGGGTTTTGCCTGGCTTAATAATGACTCCTTAGTCACTACAGCAGAAATTTTCAGCAGGATTTACAATATTTCATCTGCTTTACCTTAGTTTATTGAGGCTGGCAGGACCCACCTGATCCCCACTGGCTCTCACAAGCTTGTCTAGCATTTTTTGCCACTGCTAAGGGTTTTAGGGTTCTTAGGAAATTTAAGAGAGGAGTCCCTTGTAGATGACATTAAAACCTTTTATTAGTAGTACATTATCATAAGCAGATCAAGACGGCTTTACTGGAAAGAGAAAGCTTTACAAATACACATAAGCAGAGGCATTTCCCAGCCTACACATCAATCTGCTTGTGTACCAGAGGAATAATTATATTTTTAATTGAAAATTATAGGCACACGTCTAGTAAATCCTTCAGTATTTTCACTTTATTTAAGTGGATCAAGGTAGACTTTTCGTACAGTTCAACTGTAAGTTGATTGTAAGTTTGTTTCTTACAGTTGCATGATCTGTTTGTTATCTAAGGGAAAGCATGAAAAGGAGAAAGGAATATGAAGTAGGTGACCTGTAGACACTTAGTCAAATCCTCGAAAATGTCTTTAACCAGTAAATATCATTTGTGTCCATCTTTTCCACTGAATGTAAACTCCTACTGGTATACCATCACTCTGAAAGTATAAATACCTTAGAAAAGTAATCTATCTTTACAGCCTATTTTATGTACTAGCCATTTCACACCTCACCAATTTAAACACACGTAGCATTCTAATTTGTTTTCTATCCTATGAGCTAACTGGTGTTGACTCTCTCCTGATTTTTAGGACTGCTTCAATATTGTTTTGAATAATATGTTTCTCTTTGAAGTTTCAAGCTATTACATTTGAAAAATATAATCACCTTACTGGGTGAAAGAACTGAAGAAAATTAAGTTAGAACTATTACATTATCTAGTCCATTAAAAATCCCCATAGAAAATGAAGCTATGCAGAATAATAATACAAGACAAAAAAAGCTAAGTCATAAAGCTAATATCGGTTATGTTATTAAGTTATCTCTCCAGAAAAGCCCTACAAAACATAAGAAAATTTGTACCATATTAATGTCATGGCTGCATCCGACCAAAAACCAACTGAAAACAAGGAATATTTTTAAAAGCAGGAGAAAAGGTATATTTAAAGATTTTTTTGATGTGCGACTCAATCAACTAAGTTAAGGAAACTTTACTGACAGATCGTATCTCATGTAGCAGTTATCTAAACATTTTAATTAACTTATCCCTGGAATACTGTGCTTCACTTAACATAAAAGAGGGCTTTAAAAGTAGAAGAACATTAAAATTATGAGAAATTATGTGAAATAATTTCTAAGATGTTGGTTCTCATCAGTTCTGTATATTGAAGACTGCTTTACAGAGGCAGAAGACTAAATGGAATTATTAATCAGTATCAACTCCGCCTCTGGAAGTTATGGCCTCTGCAAAATTACTCGGTAAAGGGTTCTGCCTGAGGCTTATAGGCTGCTATCTGATGAACAAGATTTTGATATGTTTCACCTCTGGATAGTGTTTTGTGCCAGATTTCTCTAAAGATGTGTACCTCACACAGTGACTAGTCAAGTTAACCTGACTGACTGCCTAATTCACAAAGAGATTTAGACTAGAAAATAGAAGCAGAAGATGAGACATTAGCTCAATTCTTAATGCCATTTTAATATAAAAGCAGAGGGGAGAAAAAAAAAACAAATGAGGATATCGTATGATATGAAAGAACGTGAGACCAGATAATGGGGACCAAATGAAAGCAAGTTCCGTTATAGGAAATTTAGACTAGTGGATAATATGGTAAGTGAAAGAGGGTTATCTTTAGCGCACAAATTATGCGATAGCAGTATGAAAGAAATGATGCATTGTGCACCCAGCACTGGGCAATGGCATGGAGGAGTCGGAACTACCAGAACATGACATGAGACTAGATACTATAGAAATAACAGATAAAACGGAACAGGAGTAACTGAACATCCACCTGTTCTGCTGTATGAGAAGTAGATCTGTACATGAATCCTGCGGAAGATATGCATGCTCTGTTTCATCTTTCTCCTTTAGCCTACCTTATAACCTTTTCCACCAGTGGAAAGTTCTATCTTTTCCTTATTGACACCAGGAGACTATAAACACACAATTCAGCGTTTAATATACTTAAATTAGAAAGTCTGAATACTATCTTTTTCAGTGTTCCAAAACAGAAATGGCGCATGAAAAGGGTAAGACTATCATCTGAAGTCTGCAATAAAACTGTGTTGCCACCCTATGATTGGTGCTAACCTATGACTGGTAAGTTAGAAACGTATTATAAATTTTTCAGAAAAGGAGAAAGGAATCCAGGAAACCACAGATCAGCTGATCAGACTCGAAGGCTATGTAAAGATTTCCTGAATGAACATTTAAGCACATAAAGGTAAGCTGAAAATTATGCAGTTCAATGTGGTTTTATAATAAAGATAAATGTCTACTTAAATTTGAGTCTGATAAGGCAGCACATGCAAATGTAATATATTATGGAAGATTAGGATTAGAACGCAAATCAGAAAAAAAAAAGGACAGTAGTAATGATGCTTAAAGAGGGAACTAAGGGTTAGAGACGGATTACTCATGAGCTTACTCTTAAGACAGATCTTATATTTGCACTAACAAGGTTATCACAAGAAGTCTCAATGAACTATGCTGATGACACAGAACTGGGAGATGCTGTCAATAAGGACAAGATTTAAACAGGCAGGAAGAAATAAAGAATGAGAAAGGCCTGTATGTTTATTGAAAGAAATCTGTGAGCCCTAAGTCAGAATGAAAAGGGGAAGCAGAGTACTGGTGCCTCAAATGAGAGAAGCTTTTTTTAGGACCAAAATAAAAAGCACTAATGTTGTAAAAAGTAGTGGTAAGAGCTCATCTGAAATACCAGTTAAATTCTAGTCGTCCTTGTGCAAGGGAATTAAACTCAAAATGCAGCATATGAAATGAAGGTGGGGGAATGCAAGCTCTTATGAAAGCAGATTGAAATGACGACTTGTTCAGGTTACAAACTAAGGGAAAAATCTATTTCAGCTAGAGGGCTCTGTATCAGGCTAAATACCTATGAAGTTCCCATGAATAAAGTCACACTGAAAGCTAGATTTCCAATTATGAAACAAGAGTAGTAACAGAAAGCAAACATCCCAAATAGTTTTAAGATGGACCTTAAAACTGTATTAGATGGATACACACAACCCATTTCCTGCAACAGCAAGGGGAACTGCTATTGGATAACCCAAAAAGTTGCTCACTGCCATATTTCCATGGAAATATGTTATCAAAATGTTGCCATGAATAAGGCTATGTTTCAAGAAGGTCCCCTCCTCCCCCCGAAAGGTAATGGGAAAATGTTATTTTCCTTTTATGTAACAGAGCTAGGAATTAAAGCATATCAAAAACTGAATATGAATCCATTTCATATTGCTGAAAAAAAAAAAAAACAGTCACACTGAGTACTGTTAGCTATACATGTAGCAGTAAAGCTGAACAAGAGGGCTATAAAACATGACAGAAAAAAAAAAGACTGAATTTGAGGTGGTTTAGTACAATTAAGAGAGTATCAGGAGAAGAAAATGTTCAGAGTCTAGGATATATACAAGCTATTGCAAAGATAAAGATGACACAACAAGAAGTAACAGGTATAAACTATATCAAGGGAAATTAAAGACAGACCTCAGGAAAAGGCTTTCCAGTGCTGAGGATGTTGAGTACTGAGTTCCATTTCCTTGGGTGACTATGGAGTCTGTCTTTTTGAGGTTTTTAATATCGTGCAAGATACATCTGTCAGGAATGACTGAAGCTGATATCTTGACTTGAGGTAGAAGGATAGACTAGTTGATTTATAGAGAATGCTTTCGGTATTACTCTCTATGATGTGGTGTTTTGGATTCTGGGAAAGGAAAAGATTAATTTTACCAAGCCATGAGCTATGGAAAAGAGTATGCATTTGAGGATGCTGACAGAATGACATCTACAGCTATGGAAAGTAGGAAGCTGACAAGATTCAGGACTGACTGTTCCAGATCCTCAGGAATTTCAGATCTGAAAGCTTCTTCCCGTACCTGTCAAAGATGCATCTGCTATGATCCCAGCTGAACTGAAATAAATGGTATTTGTAACAGCTTCTTGGGTTGACACTGGTGTGGGACTATGTAAAATTTCTGTCTACTGCTGGGGCAAAGGAGCGTGGCAGGTGAGAAAAAAGTATTAATGTCCACTATTGATGTTAACTCCATCACAGCCAAGAGTAAAGTCCTACTTTAAATTTAAAAGGAATACAAATTAGTTTTGAATGGAGTAAGATTCCAGATTTGCATCTGGAACAGAGGTATGACTTGCTTGTATGAAAAAAAGAAAAGGAAATAAACCCCTAGACCTTTTGTTTATGTTTGGGTTAGCATAATTATCTTAATGAAGTCTGGGAAATATATTTTATTTTAAAAAGAAATTGAGCTACTAGAAGGTCAAATACTAATAACTATACATATTTACCACATGTTCTGGAGCTTTTCTTTTAAAAAAAGACTTCATAGGTTAACACCAAAATTATTTTGAAACATAAACAGCACTTTCTTAAATTATTAAAATATAATCATCTTTTAATATGCACATATGGATTGCTAAAGGCTGTTGTGTTGATGGGAACTAGCCTTTCC